CCCTAGACTGGGACTCCGAGCTTTTTGCCACGCGTCTACGTCTACTCTGATCTGACGGAGATGCAGAGGGATTCAGAGGGATCCAGAGGATCCAGAGGATCGATGAATCGTAAGGAATGTTTGCACCGGTGTTAATTCGATCGCGGACTAGGCGGACGAGTTCGTCGGGTATTTCGACCCAAGTTGTTCGAATTTCCTGACCTCGAGAACTAGGCTCGAAGGGGCGAAGCGTATGTGCTCTCGCGTTAATTAGTTCTCGAAGGGTTTGCAGGCGAGGAAGGACTCGGACTGGTTTCTAGGTGGTCCCGAAGCCTCGAGTCATCATTGCCTCATTTACTTTGTAAAACAATCTTGCCGGCGGTTCAATAGGCCTAACTACATTAAACTTACCACCGGGTAATTAAACTTCCTTGTAAATTGTCGGCACAATTCGCGTCGTTCCGTCGCGGGACGCGTTAATTAATTAACAGCTACCAATTTCGGCACCGGAATCGGCTTTCTGACGCACTTTCATCCCTTGCGTTCCTTTTTCACGCGTTGAAGATGCGAATGAAAATGGCGCGGATACTTCTCGTATTTATACTTTTTATTTGGCAACCAAACGAGAATATCCTTCGCATATTTCTCGCAATTTGGTCCAGTTGGATATACAGGATGCCAAAAGACGGATTTTATTTTATCTTCGGCTTACAGAAATAATATGTACGTATTCCTTCGGCTTCCAGACGCACTTTCATCCCTTGTGCTCCTTTTTCACGCGTCGAGGATGCGAATGAAAATGGCGTGGATACTTCTCGTACTTATACTTTTTATTTGACAACCAAACGAGAATATCCTGCGAGTACCTTCGCATATTTTTCGCAATTTTGTCCAGATGGATATACAGGATACCAAAAGACAGGTTTTATTTTGTCTTCGGTTTACAGAAACAATATGTACGTATCCCTTCTTTTATAGAAGGAATATCGGGTCTGCGCGAAGGGTTCGAAACACTAAAAACGATCACAATAAAATGAACAGAATGAAACGAGCACCAAACGCTTGTTTTAATCGAAATCGTTTAATCGAATAAATTAATTTTAATCGTTTAATCGCAGTATAATCCACGAGCCACGACTTTCTCCTATTACTCCTATCATTTGTTCATTACCAGTCATTGAATATTCTTCGTCTTTGACAGATCAGGTTTGATCCCTTTTGTGAGCATCTCACGTACATCACTTCGTTATATTCTTAACAAGTTTTGCTCTTGTTTTATTTTATTTCTTATTCTATTTATAAAATAATTTTTATTTTTCTCCTATTTTATAAAAGAATGTAAAATGCGATGTTTGCAATTGTGCATCGATTGTTTTGAAAAGTACCATGTTAAATAAACTCCATGAAGAATTCCGAAGTCATTTACTGCAGATACGACCGACCATGCCAGTCGTCGGTTGAACATCGAGGATCAGTTGATTTTCCATTTGTTTTCTAGAATAATTGTATTTTATAAATTGGATAATCAGAAATAATTTTTTAGGAAATTGTTCTCTGCATAGGCTACTGACCGGTTTGTAGTTTGTTTCTCGAAAAATAGCATTCCTCGGATATTTGTTGGAAATTTCGTCGTTTCTCATTTCTCGTTTTTCACTCGAATTTCTCGATCGTGGATTATCCGTGTTAATAGAGATATGGAAATAAATTATTAGGTACGTTGTTCCAAGGTAATAGTTAAATAAAATCCAGGCAGTAGGAAGGTGTTTGCGAAAACGAATAGGGCAGAGTGTGGAGAAGAATTTGAGGGAAGGCAGGAGGAAATTCGGGGGCAGAGAAGTCACGACGGATTATTAGGGTGCGCCAGATTTCCCGGCCGCTAAGCCGCTTTTTTTACTTATTTTCTTTCTAATCCTTACAAATGCCACGGCAATCAAGCTTTTTCCCTAATTCGTATTACGAAGGACCCGCATGCGAGTCCTAATCCTGACGGAACGCGTTCCTCTGCGGCTATTCGTTAAACACCTTTATAAACAATCCCGATAGTTCCTCTTCATCCCCTGCAAATTCGTCTCGTCCTCTTGCTCGGAAGGAAGGAGAGATACCTGGTAAAACCCGATAAAATATTAACAGAATTTAACAGAATTTAATCGTCGTCGTCATACTATCCCTTCTGTGGATCTGAAAGAGAAGAAGAAATGAAAAATTGAGGAAAATTATCTGGAAAAAATAGACATTTTTCGAGGTAGGCAGAAATACCTGGGTATTTTAAAAATTTTAGAAACAATGTATACTTTCAAAGAAATAACACTGCCAATATGTCACGGTCTCGTATAGGAGTTAAAAAGATAAAGAAATTCGGACAAACGCTATCCTTCAAGGAGCTCGTGAATTTGATAACAGGTATAGAAAATGAAAAGGGAGGACGAGTCGGTGAAAGGCTTTCATATACACATATACATGCTCAGTACTACTGTGCCACTTTATTTTCAGCTTCTACGACGAACAGTAAATTATTCCTATGATCTCTAGATCCTCTCTCCGACGCACCTATAACCACTGTCTATGCAACGATAGCGATATACACGATTGCGGATAACGATACACCGGGTACCGGAGAACGGAAAGAATTCGCTGAAGCCAGTCGTACGGCGTTAATTAAAGTGCGGGTAGAAGAGAAAAAAGAAAAAAAAAAGAAAAAGATAGAAGAAAGCTCCTGGATGATCGAAAGCTCCCCCTCCGCGATGATCCATCGTGGAACGATCCTCGTTCCGTGCACCGCGTCTCGCGATCCTCTCGCGACCCAATGGGTGCCACTCCTCTCCGTCGATATATATTAATAGCGTAAAAGTATGTACGTGTTAGTGATCCCCAAACTCGAATAAAGTCTCTGTCTGAAAATTATTACACTAGCATATAATCGTCTCAGCACCATGTTCAAACACAGCGAAGATACGTGTATCTCCCTTCCTAAATATACATATATACGTCCCTGAACGCGTCGCAGGGGATGGTTGGCGAAAATGGCCAACCTCTATAAATATCTCTCTCTCTCTCCAAATTTACCGATCGATCGCTAGAAGGTAAAGAGATCTCGAGTGAAGATCGACCGATAGATTTCCGAGGTAAAATAAATACGACGACCATGGCGTGCACTATTTTTCCACCGATTTTCCAAAGCGAGTAGCGCGTTTTCGCGAACGCGAGACACCGTTAGGATAACCGTAATCCGGGATACGGATGGAGCTGCGCGAAACGCTGGACAGGGCGATCAATCGCACCTATGGCTCGCTATAGATCGCTATAGATCGCCTATAGATCGCTGCTCGATCCGGTGGAAAAATCGTTAGCCATGGGAAATGATCGCTCTGGTTGGCCATTCGCGGCGACCATCGCCATCGCGAGTCCTCTTCTCGCGGCCAGTCACGCACTCTTGCACCCCCTAGCAGTTATGTATAATATGCAGCCACTGATTCACCCTCTCTCCGAGTCTCGTCGAATAGTCTTTGGGTTTTCTTTGTCGCCCACATGTCTCTCCCTTTGTCTACACTCCTCGTCTGTGCGTACGATTAACGATAATAACGATAAAAATCGATCCGATTCCTAATTTCAATATTGCATCCCCCTCGCACTCTCTCTTTCACGCTCACACGCACTCTGTTTCCCTCACTCTCGCGCGTATGCTACATCGGCCTAACGTGTTATTTAACACGCCTGCGTTATTATACAGATTATTATATGTATAAGTATGTGATAACTCGCGTAGAAAAATATTTTATGTTAAATCGACTATCGTTATTCAACGTCCCGCCACAACGCGATTTGCCTATCCCCTGATCCTCGGTGACGCAGATCAGCTCGGCACCAATTCCGTTCCTGGAACAATGAAACATCAGTGTTACATGGCTGTGCGAGAGACAAGGCTTGAGATCGTTAACGGGAGTGATGTGTTCATCCTGGTCTCTGCATATGCGTGATTATTGAATGCATGCTGTGTGCTCATGTTGTGTACGGTAGATTAGATGCAATTTCGAGGCGCAAGCGTTCGTGGAGCAGGGATCGAATCTTTTGGACCAAACGGATGGATGGGTTAAACGGGTTAAACGAGCAGAAGATTGATTTCTTGCACGAAAGTGAGCGAGGAACTCGTTAAACCAGCCTTAAAACACGGCGAAAGGTCTTCGCGATTCAGCTATCTGCCTGCTTTATCCGTCTACCCAATTATCTCTGCAATTATCCTTTATTCACGCCGGCCATTTTCTTGCCAATCGGTCGTACAATCCTTTATTCCGCTCTAACACGTTCCAACACCGATCGGATTTGCATTACGTTCGCTCTGATACGTGCTGATGAACGATACGTGTGTAGGATTATTGTGGAAGGTCCTTTAATAACGTTCCGCCATTTTTATTTCACATCGTGGTACCTGAATGGCTGCCAAATATTCGTCTTGGACTCGGTTATTAATTTCCAAATTATTCCGAGGAATCTTCGTCCAAAATTTCACGATTTTATTCGATTCTAGAGATAAATGGATGATATTTTTCTTTCCCTCTGTACTTTTTCTTGAAAGCAGAGAATAGGTAAAATTTTTGAGAATTTAGGTGGTTTGATAATCTTGTACGATCTACGATCCCATTTTGAAATAATAAAAATCGAAGAAAGTCTTGATTATTAATTTACAAATTATTCCAGAGCATCCTCATCTAAAATTTTAGAATTTTATTTGATTTCGGAAATAAATGTACGTAAATTTTCTTTATTTCTCCATTCTTTTTCTAGAAAACAGGGAACAGGTAAAATTTTAGAGAATTTAGATGGTTTTCAATCTTGTACGACCTACGATCGCATTTTGAAATAATAAAAGTTATAGAAAGTCATAGAAAGTCTTGATTATTAATTTCCAAATTATTCCAGAGAATCCTCGACCAAAATTATACAATTTTATTTCATTTTGGAAATAAATGTATGACATTTTTCTTTATCTCTCCGTTCTTTTTCTAGAAAACAGAGAATAGATAAAATTTTTCAGAATTTACATGGTCGCCAATCTTGTATGACCTACGATCCCATTTCGAGATAATAAAAATTGAAGAAAGTCTTGATTATTAATTTCCAAATTATTCCAGAGAATCCTCGACCAAAATTTTACAATTTTATTTCATTTTGGAAATAAATGTATGATATTTTTCTTTATCTCTCCGTTCTTTTTCTAGAAAACAGAGAATAGATAAAATTTTTCAGAATTTACATGGTCGCCAATCTTGTATGACCTACGATCCCATTTCGAGATAATAAAAATTGAAGAAAGTCTTGATTATTAATTTCCAAATTATTCCAGAGAATCCTCGACCAAAATTTTACAATTTTATTTCATTTTGGAAATAAATGTATGATATTTTTCTTTATCTCTCCGTTCTTTTTCTAGAAAACAGAGAATAGATAAAATTTTTCAGAATTTACATGGTCGCCAATCTTGTATGACCTACGATCCCATTTCGAGATAATAAAAATTGAAGAAAATCTCGGTTATTAATTTCCAAATTATCCCAGAAAATCCTCGGCCAAAATGTTACAATTTTAATCGATTATAGAGATAAATGTACATAAATATTCTTTATCTCAGTCCTTTTTCTCAAAAGTAAAGGACGTTAAAATTTTCAAGAATTTACATGGTCGCCAGTCCTGTATTACTTACGATCCCATTTCGAGATAATAAAAATTGCAGAAAATCTCGGTTATTAATTCCCGATCGATTAATTTCCGCTTCAATTACGCTCGCACATGCTCGATACATAGTTCATCGTTACTCAGCCTGGAGAATAATCTTACACAGAGCGAGTTTGCCATGTTTGCGCGAGGGCCAAGAACGGGATCGAATGAAATGCAGTTCGCGGTCGACTGACTTTTCCGAAATGTTTTTCCGGCGAGCAGGAAGCGACCAGGGCCGACTTGGTTCTTTTCCCCGGCCTTTCTTTTGTCCCCGACCACGGAATCCTTTCTCGCGATACCAGCCGCCTAGTGTCCGGGAAAAAACTTCTGATCGTGGACGGTTTTGTTGGCGATCCTCGAGCGAGCAGCAAAACAATCGTTCCACGCGATCTTTGGGGCATTTTCTAATCGAACAATCGCAGATCTGGCAATCCCACAGCAAGCCTTCCGAGTTTCGGCAGGGTTCCGTGTTCTCTACTTCATCCCTAGACTTCTACCAACAGTGTGGAGACTGTAGATTCAACAACGAAATCTTTGAAACGAAATTTAACTAAAACGTGACAACATCGTGTCGTATGCTTAGAAATTTTAGAAAAAAGCATAAGCTGATGATGAAACTACGAATGAACTATGGATGCTAAAAGCTAGGAATAAGCTAGAATTTAAAGTAGAATTTAAAATCTTCAGAATCTGAGATAGAATTTCCTCCACCGAGAAAAATATTATTCTGACACGAGAAAATTAAGTCCAACGAATTATAGTCTCATCAAAGAGATTCGAATTGAACGGAGTAATTAAAGAGACGAATCGTGGATACCCAGGGGAACAGGATTTTCGGCGGGAATATCGGGAATTCGCAAAGTGGCGCGCGAGGTCGTTGAAAGAAAGATTTGGAGAGAAAAAGTGGGAGAGGCTCGGGGATAAAGGCAGGAATCCGGTAACGAGGGATGTACGTAGCAAGAGGAGGAATAAGGAATAATTTAAAACGAGTCATGGAAATCCAGGATCGACGGTCGTTCGTGGTGCTTCTTAAATTCGCATTAAGGACGACTGGTGACGACGAAAATGACGGGACGTAGGGTGTCACGCATGCCATGTCGATGCGGCGTTTAGCATCGGGCTGCACTCGCGGTGAAATAACTCGTTTCGGAACACTGGAAACTCGTTCTCGGATAATTCTCCGTCTCTTCGGGGACCCGTAACTCGAATCGTAAAAATGTCATCAGGAGGAAAAATTCCTTCTCCTTTCTCCGTAATCGACCGATCGGCTGCCTGCCCTCGCTGCATCCGGGAATAGAATGCACGGAGGACAGGGAGGATGCAAAGAAACGCGGCGAAGAAGTTGGGAAAATGGAGGAAAGCTTCGAAAGGAATCGCGAATTTCTCGGAAAGAGAGAACAGAGAGAGAGAGAACAGAGAGAAGGAGGAGAGGTTTTCTCTACCGATTGCGTGCAGGGTGAAGAGAGAGTGGAGAGAGGTCGAGCACGCGTAAAACTTCCCGCCATTTTCCGCCCTCTTTTTTGCTATTAGCTAAGTATACCGCCTCTGGCTTATGTTAAGCTTCGGCAATTATTTGTCATAGTCAGCTAAGACGAGAGCGGAGACAAAAGCGCGCTAGAGAATGGGGCGACGGCCCTCTGAATAAGACGTTCCCATCAATTTCACCGCCATCGGTCGCGTCCTCGCTTTCCTCTCGTTTCTCTGCTTGACCTTCGCTTTCTACGCTATCTTTACGCGAGATCCGTATGAAAGTCTTCGGAAAATCTTGGAAAATTCTCGCGAATAGCGACGACCCTAATCTACACGGAATCCACACGTTCAACGGTGCACAAACGACGCGAAATATTCAACCCCTTATGCTTGGCAATTTCTTCGTTACAGAGAAATAGCAATTCGAAGACTCTCTGCCATAACATTGACAATATTTCTAAAAATTAATACGCAGAATTATTTTATTTCGATATTCCACGCATCGTTGGCTAATTTTAAATTTGATACATTAATTAAAACCGATTTTAGAATCTGTACTCTAGTACTAGAATTTAGAACTGAGAGTCGCCTTTCGAGTGTAAAGGGTTAAATTCCCCATAGAAGCATCGTGGTTCCAGTATTCCTGGTTCTATTTCTAAATGATCAGAGTGTAGGCCTTCATCGGAAATTTTTGGAGCGAATATCGTCATACCGTCGCGTTGTATTTATCTACAACAGAGTATCAAATCTGACATAACCTAGTTCGAGTTAGGTGTGATTTTTCTAAAAATTCGTTAAGGGTACCGAGGTACTCCATTTCTGCAATTACAGCAAACACCGTGTATACGTATTTGCGTGCCTAATATCGCTATAATAATTGTCTGGACATTCTTTTCAGGGAAAATCAGTCGGAATGACCGAGAGTCGTTTCGTTTGACGGAATTATTTAAAATTCCTCGGTACCGGTGCACCGATTCTCCGCGAACCGATAGCTCGGCTCAAAAACCGATGACCCTCCCCCCGACGGCAACAAGAACACCATGAACGAGTGACTCCGCGAGAAAACGCAACGAAGCCATTGAGAGTGCTCGTGAAAATGCTCGGGGCCCGTCCGGAACGACATAATAATCAGCCGGCACCGAAGATTGCGAGGAGCACTCGTTCCCCGACCGCGGGGCAACCCCTTTTCTACCTAACTTATACTTATTATTGCATTATCTCCTTTGGCCTAGAATGATTCTCCGGCTGTGTGGAGAAGCCGCCGCGAAACGACGGTACCACGGGAAAAAGTATCTCTCCGGGGGAAGCGAATCTCGCGAACTACATAATACTCGGCAGCGGCGGTGTAATTGCGAGGGGCGCGATGCAAAAATCCACCCAGGCAATTGAATTTCTTATCGGATCTATCGCGGAGGAATAGCTCCTTTAGCGGTGCAGCGGAGCGAGGTAAGTTCCATACGTTTCGAGAATTAACGCCTTTGAAATTCTTTAGAGACAGCGGATGCATTTCGCTGCGGGAGAATAGAGACGGGGTGGAATTTTTAAATTCGAGTGCCAGCGAAAAAGTGGTCCTGGAAAATTTCGTAACAGCAGCAACGATGTATACAGAGAAATAAATATGAGAATGTTGAAACGTCGAAATATCGTACAAACGATGGTAGAAGGGCGGATAATTTTTAAACAGCGCGAAAATC